AATCTAAAACTCCTCTACTTCAGCTTAAAGCCATTCCCTTTTGTCCTATCACTCCATGCCCCTGTGAGGCACTTGTTGTTTGGATCTCCCTTATCACAGACTCATAGAATTTTAGGGGTTGGGATGGACCTTAGAGATCATCCCAGCCCCAACCCCTGCCCTGGGCAGGGACACTAGATCAGGTTGCTCAAGGTTTTATTCAACCTGGAACAAAACACTGCCAGGGTTGGAGCAGCCACAGCCTCCCTGGGCAACCTGTGCCAGTGTCTCACCAAAGAGGACTCTATTCCATCTGGAGCAGGTGGAGAACAGGGCAGGAAGGACCACTGCTCTCAGCATCCCAGGGAGCATCCCAGGGAGCATCCCAGCTCAAAACAGAGCAGAAGGTGTGTGTTTAAAGCCAGAAGGACCAGGCAGGTGCTGGTACCTGTCCCAAGGGCTCTCTGCACACACAGAACCAATCTGCCTTTCTGCCTATTAACCTCTCCTAATTCCTTCACAGTTTGGTCAAATCCACCCAACTGCAAAGAAATCAGTTTGTTCACAAACTGCTCCAAGTCACTGAGGCTTCCACAGTCCGTTCATTTTAAAAGATGATTTTCTTCCTTACATTTGAACAAGATTATCAGGCTTTGAAATCTCAAAGAGACAACGGAGAAGGAGTGATTAAAGGCACCAAATTAAAGAGGCTGCTGCTCCAAAGGCTATACATGTATAAATAATCCCAAGGGATCCCACTCAAAAGATACATCTGGAGGCAAGAAAAGCTGATAACTATGCAAGAAGCAGAAAGGTTGTACTGTGCAGAGAAATGAAGGGTCAGATTAAAGAGAGGATGACAGGGGAAAAGGGAAAATCAAAATAGGAATCGGCTCAAATGGAAGAATATTTTGAACACATATATAGAGAGACCTAGAAATACAGAAATAAATAAATAAAAGGGCCACGCTGAAGGAGGATAAGCAGGAAGAAATCAAAGCAGTGCTCCCCACAAAGGAATGAAAAGGAGTGTGCAGGAGAACAGACATCAAAGCAGGATGATCTTCCAGGAGAGGGAGAGGTGACCAGAATAGCAACACAGGGTGACACACAGGCCTGAGAGTTCAACCTCCTACAGAGCCCAGGGCTAAATCATTAACTGCTGGACAAACAAGAACACATCACCTCCTTCCCAAGGTGTAACAATTTGTTATGAGGACAATTCCATCGGTTCCCCCCTGGTTTGACTTGCTCCAGAGAGCAGTTATTTCACCATTAATCTTCCCTTTCCTTTGCAGGAGCACAGAATTGCACTGACACCATCCCTGGGGTCAAATCCCAGATCCCCACTGACACCACTGGGATTCACTCCCAGGACTGCTACAGCAGCAAGTCCCTGGTCGACAGCATCTTTGAGTGAGATGTAGAAGTGATCCCTCAGGAGGAACCAAAACAAAGGGCACAGAAAGAGGACAGTGCTCCAGGAACACCTACAGCTCAGGCTGGGTGTTTCCACCAAGATCTAAGCCCATGTTTGGTGCAGCCCCAGTGCCCAGACACAGAAAGGTTTTGCAGCAAACACATCCAAGAGGCAGGAAGAAAGGGGCTGATACACACTGCTCATCCAGCAGCACTTCAGTGCTGGCTTTGGCAGCAAACACAGCTTCTCTTATCAGCACAGATACCTTTGAAGTGGCTGGCAAGTCTCCATCCAACACTCAAACAATCAAGACCCTCCACATGGGAACAGAGCCCTGGAGAGGGATCTCTACACCACAAAACACAGGCAGAGACACTGTGAACCACAGCCACAGCCACACAGGCTTCCCAGGACACTGCAGATCCAAGCACTGCCAAGAGGAACCCGTTGAAAACCTGGGTGTAATGCAGGAACAACCACTGGAATTTGGGAAGTTCACTGATTTTAAGACAGCAACTTGAGAGAAACCCATCAACACCTAAGCATCAGCACTGCTGGGACCTTCATGTAATGGTCCATGGGGTCCAAGAGTGAGAATCTCAGCCTGAGGATTCCTCTCCTCAGTCACCAGAAGAGACAAACCCCACGTTGCCACCACTTCTGCTGCTGGGCTGGACAGAGAAGGACCTGGTGTGTCCATCTCAGGCTCTGTGCTGCTCCAGCTGCACCACAACCAGTTCCCACCTCTTCCCCTGCATTGCCTCTGCTGTGAGGATGTGTTTCCTCCCCAGCACAGACCTTATCACAGCCATCCAGGCCCTTTGCTGCCTCCAGGCTGGATTACAGCTGCATGTTGTACTTAGATCTTTGCCTGAAACCTCTCTCCACTTCACACAGTGGGAGATACAGCGACTCAAGAGTTTAGCAACAAAAGGGACCTCAAGGACATCCTTTCTGTCTTGCCTGTCATTCCCATCTTACCTGCTCAATCCCAGAATGACACAAAACAGCAATCTGAGACAGCCCTAAATTATACATGGCCCAAGAAAAGGATCTGATGCCTGAGGATTTTGTTTCATCTGCCCTCAGCAGATGAGGGTCTCTGTATCTCTCTGTATTCCACAGCATCATTTATAACCCAGTGAGTAGCTCCTAAATGTGAGTTATTAGATCACCTCTAACCAGCCTGACACACAGCTAACTTTTTTTTAGAAGCTATTTTCCAAACAGAAGGGCAAAAAAATAAAGTTTCTCAAGACTTTCAAATCACAGTGACCTTGATTTTAATATGAAACAAGGACAGAGCTCCCAAACTACAACTGGCAGCACAATTCCCAACCCTAGAATTTCCAATGCAAAAGAGTATATCCCAAGCTCCTGTGTTATTTCTCTGACATGGCTTGGCTAACGAGATCTTTGGAGAAATGACACAACTCTGCTGAGCTGGAGCAGCACAGCCATTCAGCAATGCCCTTCAGAGCTCCATCACACTTGGGGTTGGATTGGGATCTCCAAATTTGCCTTCCACAGCTCCATGGAAGGGTTTGCAGCATGGCACAGAGACATTACCTGCCAACTTAGCCAAATTTCTCTATTTATCAGCCTGGTAAGAGAGGAGGCAACTTTTGTTTTAACCACCCAGCACAAGTGGAATAGTAATCACTAGTAATCAATACCTGTTTTGGCCTTCAGCCAGGTTGGAATTCCTGGCAAACAGGCAACAAGCAGTTGGAATTTAGCAACAAACACCTTTTATTTGCAGGAATTAACACAGAGTTTGCCCTTGGTCTGTGAGAAAGAAACCAGAGGTGTATTTTGTTGTTGGTTTGTTGTTCTTACTCAAGTCCTACTATCCAAAATAAAAGTATAAACATGGTTTTACCTTGTTCTATAAGGGGCTGAAAATGTAGATGGCAATTTCCAGCCAAACTGGGATAATATCAGTTTCCATGTACTACTTTGCTGAGGCATTTTCTGGCCACCCTGCTCAAGTACAGCCCTTGTTGAAATTCAGTGGGGAGATTACTTCTCCTTTGGAAGGATTAGAGGAATTGAAGAGTAACTGCCATTCAGTAATCCTGTGTAAGTATCTAATCAACCATAATGTAATTACCAGAAAGTTTTAAAAGGTCAAAAAGGCCTTTACTTGAAAAAGAGAAGATTCCTCCTCTGCTTGGGCAATGACTTAAATTAAGAAGTGTAAGAGAAACAGGATGTAAAAGTTGAATATATTTTTCATACCCCATTAAAAGCTCCAGGAAGAGGCAGAGGACAGGGAACACCACACTGCACCTGCACTGGTTTTCATTCCTCCACAGAAATCAGATGACAACACACACAAAAACCTGCTGCAACAGAGCAAACAAATCCTGCTCTCCAGGTAACACACAAGATGCTGCTCCTTCCAGTGCATCTTGACATGAAATACCACACACCATATTGAGCATTGTTCATTTTCTAGCAGCCTAAACAAACTGCATTTTATAGACTCTATCAGTTAAAGCAATACAGAGAGGCTAAGAAACAGCTGAACACTTTCTCCTGAAGAGATCTCAAAAGACCACCAAGACAGCATGAAAAGCCAACAAGGTCCCAACTCCTGCTGACTCCCAAACAGGTTTTAATTTGACACACACACTCACATGACTCTTTTAATCTAAAAACTAACACAGAGGGCAAAGAAAAGACATGAAAGTAGACTACAGTCTTTTTATCACAAGTGCTCCCCTTCCATTTCTCTCACAGAGGTGTTGGGATTTGGGGTGAGATGCCACAAAATAGTCTTTAGAAGGCTCAAGTCCTTCTGTAACCTCCTTCCCAGGCCTGGCAGGAGGAGAAATAACTCCCCAAGCTCATGACACATTGCAAGGGGGTGTGGAGTGAGGGGAGAGGAAAGGCCTTTCCAAGTGAGAGCTGCAATGATTTCAACATGTTAACCAGCAGATGTTCCAGCCATCAGCAAATCTCTGAAGGGACCAGACATTAGCACTGAACAGCAGTTTCAAAGCCTCCACACTGTGTTTCTTTAACTGGAAGAACAGATTCTTGAGAGAAAAACCCTCCCACACTGTCCCACCTTTCTTCCCAGGTGCAAATCAAGGGGAGAGAAAGAGGACAAGGCTAACAAAAGAGACTTGAGCTTCATTTTCTCCTTATTCCAGGACAATATATCCTTTTGTTATCCAGCATGGTAGGAATTCCCCCTAATATTAACAGTAGTTTCTCCTCCATGACATATATAATTCTGCCTTTAGAGAGCTATTCTTATGTTCAGAGTTGAAGACCTGAAGCATTTCTGCTTAATTAATCAAAGTTTTAACATCCACACAAAACCGTGAGGACGTTAAGAGGAAAAAAAACATGGCCTGAATTTAGACCAACAACTGACCACATGTGGTTAAATCAGCCCAACAAATCTCAACTGACCACATGTGGGAAAGCCCTAAAATACTAAAATCCAATCACTGAAGAAATCCAAGGTAAGTCAACCTACAAAGAGGAAAAAAGCCCCAGGTAACACTGAATTGATCCATGAGAAGTGATAGCTGGAGGTGTATTTTAGAAGCACCAAACAGACATGTCAGTGCTGCAGCTCTGTTACCTTCTTGAAGAGTCTCCCTGAGTCCTCGCTGACCTGGACAAAGCGTGGGATGATGTTGTTGAGATAGATGTCACTGAGGGTGGTGTGGTCTCTGCTCTCTCGCTTCACCTGATTGAGCAGGAGGTTCCAGCAGTTCACTGGGGACAGCACGTTCTGGTCCTTCCTGTAATGGAAACAAAACAGAAACAACTGGGTAGGTTACCTGAAGTGGATCTGAACCCTTTCTGTTAGGATGCTCTAGAAATGCTGAAATGCAGCTATGGAGTGTGTGGATTTGCTGAGAGAGAGAACAGACCTCAATTACCTTTCACTCCATGGCCATGTGCTTTTGTCCCCCCCAGCAAACAGACCCTGCCAATGCAGTTTACACTGTGCCAAGTGTAAGATTGAATTCCTCCTCTGAATCCAGGATTTAGTGACTAAATCAGTGCCTGAGGGACAGCGATGGCTCCAGTGTCTGACAACAGGTTTCACAGTCCTGTCTCCAGCACTTGGGACTGAGCCACAAAAAAAAGATTTCAAGCACCCAGTTAGCTAAAGAGCACCTGCATAGGGAACAAAATGGGGTGTTTTGTGGGCAAACCAAATTATCTGAAAGCATCTCTGTCTGTCCTGAGCCAATGAGACAGCAACAGCCACACAACAGGCTCTGTTTTCTCCTCTTTGAACTCTCTCCACCTTATTATGGCTGATGCACTCTGCACCCTGCAAAGAAGCAACACAAAGGGCAACGAGGCGAGATGAGAGGAACCTCAGCTTATCTGGCTCAGCATTTCATCTGCTGAAAGGAGTAAGTCATTTCTTAGGGCACCAACTCATCCTAGATGAAAGCAAGGATGTGATAAGGGACCTCCCCTGGTCCTCCAGCAGTGCTGGGAACTCACAGGTCCAGGTGGAACCTTCATTTACTTCTCTCTGGGTCTGTTTATCATTTGTTTACAGCACCATAATATTTATTGTAGGAAAGAGTAAGTCAGCTCTCTGGGGCAAAGCCAAAGCTCTCCTTGATTATTGTACGTGACTGTATCGGATTTCTCCTCTCTTAAAAGAGAGGTGGTTTAATTTCCATTGGAAAGGGAATATTCTGCACTTGAAAGGACACCAATCTCTGCTGCAAGAAGTGTCTGACAGCAGGAAAATGGGAAAATTAAGCCAGGGCAGAGTTTCATTACCCTTCTCATGACATCCATCCATGGTTGGATTTGTGGTGCAATATGGATAGTTTTAGATAAAGGAGAAGTTTCAGAACAGCTGATCCTGATGTTTCTTTTTTGTTCCTTAAAAAAAAAAAAATGAAAAGCTCAGGAATGACTCCAGCCTGTGATCCTGACTCTGCTGCAAGGTTTGGAGTGTGTGTTTAGTGGGAGGAGGAAGGATTCTGGGCTTTTTGAGTAAAAGAAATAGAAAATAAACCATGAGAAGGCAACAGATTTTATTTCGAGACTGTTTTCCTTCACACTCCAATGTCCTGCACTGCAAATACAACTCCAGATGGAATGATCCCAATGCAGAACTGCACAAGGTTGAAGCTGCCAGATGTTGAGCTCTATAAATCAAATCATGCCCTCATCTGCAATCAGTGTTTGCAGCACACTGCTGGTTCTCTTAATATGCCAGAGAGCTAATTAGAGCCTCTGAGACCCAGATAATAGAGTTGGGAACCTCTGGGTGGTGACCAGGCTGCAGGAGCTGTGTGCTCTGACACCTGCTGAGACAGAGAGAAGAGCTGTACCACAAGAGAAGGTGATACACACATTAAGGGGTTTATTCTTCCACAAAAGAGAAGGCAGGAGGAGGAAAGGCATCTCCAGAGCTCCTCCAAGCAGCAGCACTGGGCTGGAGGTGTACAGGACACCTGAAGAGCAACCACCACTGCCAACATTTTTCAGGGAGCAAACTGTGTAAAATGCTATTGGGGATGGCTGTAAAGAGAAGGTTATGAAGGACAGGACTAAAAGGCGTTAAAAGTTGGTTGGTTTTCTCCTTTACACCAATGCTATAAAAGCACTTGACACACTGAGTCAGTATTTGACCTCCAAAGCTGTCAGAGCTGCAGCAAGTGAAAATTAATCAACTACCATAAAGGCTTTGGGAAGGAACAAAAAAACTCAGACTCTCCACCAGCTGACCTTGTCCTAGCTGCTCAAAATCCTGCCTCAAAATCCCTAAGAGCCTGGTACTGCTCCATCACTGTGAGCTATCAGTCCAACCCCACCACGAGCAGCTTGTGAGCCACAAGGACTAGGAGGTGTGACCAAGGGCAAGAAAACAGGCAAAGGAGCAGAGAGCAGGTACAAAAACTTTGCTTCCCAAAGCAAACTGAAGCACCAAGGGAAATCAGAAGAGATGCAATAGTTAACTGGACAATTCCCAGCTGTCCAGGCTGCCCTACCACAACACCCCAAGCTATTCCAAGGCAGCACATAGCAGGAATACCAGGAGCCCATGAAAAGGCTGGTGAGTAAAATCACTGGTGTCTAATGGCGCCAGATGGGTTGTTGACACACTCCATGTGGTTAGACATGAAAGGCCATCCTGCAGGAAAAAAGAATCCCAAGCCCACATGCTTCCAATCCACGAGCAGGATTGTCACCTTGGGGATGCGCAGGGAGCGCCCCGAGCTCAACCTCAGGCAACCACAGCTCTGCACACTCGGAGCTTTCCTTTAAATTCCTGCCATTTCTTGCTGCCTGGTGGCTTCACTAACCCCTTCAGTGCCTTGCTGAAACCATCTCTTGCTTTGAACAGGTTCAGTGTTTTCCCAACAAAGGTTTGACAGGAAAGGAGATGCAACTTCTCCACGATTTGCTAGCGCTAATTGTCCCAGCAAACAGATCATGCCAGGCCTTAAGGCAGAAATGAAACAGCAAAGGAAAGAGGCAGTGACTTGCTTCCAACCTTCCAAGTAGCCTTTCAAATTACACACACGTTAAGTGTTCAAGCTCCTCCAAAAACACGGCGTTTTCCAGGGCGGAACACGGCCACAGTTTTCACAACACAGAGCAGAAGTTCTACAACTGTTTACAACAGACCCTTTTGAATCGTAACCAGGAGCAGATGGCAGAGGCAAATTGTGATTTTCATTAACCATTTCAATTCTCAAAGGAGCTGGCAAATGGAATCTGCTTCCAGTTTCGTGTCACCACAGAGGGAGGGATGGAAAAGGGAAGGGAGAGCTGCAGTAGGGACTGGTGGGTATGGCTGAGAGTGAGCTCTGTTTCCACACATCCTGCAGGATCATGTGCAGCCTGAAGTAGTAAAACTGATGAGATCAACCCAAAACTTCAGGATCTGGAGATGAACATTCCCAACTGTTTCACTCCAACTTCCCCTCGGAGGAGGAGGAGGAAAAAGATGCCAAGATCCAGGTTTATTTTGAGCACTATTTATACTCCTATAAAGATGGTGTGATGATAGTGAATCTGGAGGGTTTATTTAGGTTAGCCTAAATTACAGCAGATCCCAACAATTGGGGGTGTCTGGGAGCAGGAAGAGGAAGTTGTGCAGAGATTTTTAAGGAACCACAAAGTATGAAGCTCTGTGGTTTCTTGGGTGTTATCTTGATCGGGTCCTATGCAACTCCCACTTCAAAGGTTTCATGCTGGTCTCAAAAGATCAGAAGGGAAGATTGAGCCCCAAGTATCTGAAATGTCTTAATTAAATTACTCATTCAGACAAGGAACTCGCAGACAACCCAAGATTTATCTGCTTTAAAGCAAGTGGGAGAGAGCGACAGACGCCAGAGACACCGAGTTGGGCACTCCAAGGGAACAGCAGCAAAGTTATCTTGCAGAATAACCTCCCCACAACTAGACTGAAATATAAAATGACAAAATAAATAGCTGATTCAAAATTACAAAATCAAAACCCACATCCACAAAGCAGGAGTAGGAATATTGGCTTTCCATAAGGAGTAGAATACAAACCATTGATTTTCCCAGCTCATGGATCCCTGGCTCTCTGCATTCAAGGAGGTCACTGAATAAATGAATGTTTTATGCTTAGAAAAACCTTCCAAATGCACAGAAAAACCCTCCAAATGGTGCTATTTGACAGACCCCAGAAAAATAGGTGCAGGACTCAGCTTCACCAAAAAGAATCGCAGGACAAAACAGCCTAAGACAATGTTTCTTATAATGAATAATAATGAGGATAATGACAATGTAGTTGAAGCCACGTGACCCAAATGCCTTTGTCAACACCTCCTTCACAACCTGCATCATCTCTGCTCCAAAGAAATCATTTCACTTTTAAGATAACCAAAGCTGAACTCTGCAGGCTGCTCATTCCAATCAACCTTGGATTTTCCCTGACACAGCTCAGTGTTAACTGCAAGTTTTGAGAATTACAAGCATGGACATCCATGCTGCTCCCTGCCCTTCTCTTCCAAAAGATTCCAGTTATGAACATCTGTTGTTTACAAGTGCTCAGCCTGAAGGTTGCCAGACTTATTCTGCATCTTCTACTCGAAGGCAAAGGCTGCCAGAAAGCCATCTGAATTTCATGCTGGGATATCCTGGACATTCAGCTCTCCAGCTGACAATTGCTACTCAGTCTCCTGCTCCCAAAGATTAGCTTGATTTAAAATAGGGCCTTAAAATAGCATTGTCTTGTCTTTTTCTTTTTTTTTCCCCCCTTTGTTTTCCCCCCCCCCTCCCCTCCCATTTTCTCTGTTGAAAGGAATCACTCAGGATTTGCCACGGGTTTTTATGTTGTTAACTGATGACTCGAATAGGGAAATGCCTCTAGGCCAAAAATCACATGAAAGAAGGGAAATGAAGGTCTCAGGGTGTCACTGCAGTGGGGCTGGGGGTCAGACCCATGCCCAGACCCCCCAGACACCAGCTCAGGTACATGCTCTGATTTACCTTCTACACAAGAGACCTTTAGTCAAGGAGATCTATAAGCAGCAATGACTACACCAAACCTGTGACTTACAAGCTCTTGTAACAACTAGAGTTAGACTTTTGGGCTGTGAAATGCCTTTTTTCCCCTCCAGTCCTTGTGTAGGGATATTTGCCAACAGGCACTGAGAAATATATACAATATATAAACCAAACATATAGATTTGATGATTATTCTCTTGACTAGACTGTTCTAACTGAAAGAACATTTTTGAGAGACAATAGATCAAGGGAGATCTTACAGTCATGGCAGAGTGGTTAAAAGCAAGGAAAACCTGGGATATATCCAACTGCCATCAACTTGTATGTCACCTTGGCTAAATCAATCTGTTCTCCTTCTTCAGAGGCATCAAAGGAGAATAACACACACACCTACCCCTGTGAATCCTTCTAAGATGCTCCAGCGAAGCTTCAAGCTGAGCACTATGCGAGGACCATTTCAGCCCATCCCAGCCACACTCAGTTTGCTGTCAAGACCAAACCACCTACATTGTAAAATCCATATGGGAAATTCTCCTATGGGGAAAGGCTGAGAGATTTGGGATTGATCAGCCTGGAAAAGAGAAGACTTTGGGGTGAACTAACTGCCCTTCCAGTACCTGGAGGAGCCTGCAAAAAGGATGGAGAGAGATGATTTACAAGGGCCTGGAGGGACAGGACAAGGGGGAATAGATTCAGATGGACAGTGAGAGGGTTTAGATTGGATATTAGGAAGGAAATCCTTCCCTGTGAGGTGCTGAGGCACTGGCACAGGTTGCCCAGAGAAGCTGTGGCTGCTCCAGCCCTGGGAGTGTTCCAGGCCAGGTTGGATGAGGCTTGGAGCAACCTGGGCTGGTGGAAGTTGTCCCTGCCCAGGGCAGGGGGTGGAACTGGATGAGCTTTAAGGTCCTTCCAACCCAAACCATTCTCTAACTCTATGAACACATTTCCACCTGCCCAGCTCAGCCTCTGGGACAGCCACAGCTAACAAAAATACACCCCTTGCAATGCCTTTTCTAGAAACCTCCACACCAGCCTGTGCTTCACACTGCTCTTTCCTTGAAGCCTGTGCTTTTTCCAGCCTGGAGATGTCTGGTGGAGGAAGCCACACAATCCAATTTCAGGGGTCAGACTGAAGCCTCCTGCCCTCGATGGCATTCCCTTAAACGAACACAGGCAGAGCAAGTTGGCAATTACATAATAGCTGGAGAATATGAAAGCACATGCAAATTACAGGGTGAGTGCCTGACAGATTTCCTCCTTGACTGAGCGTTATGAGATCTAAAAACAGCCAGTGACATGGGGAGCAGCACTGAATGATATGGTACCTTCTGACATAATTACCAGGTTAGGGGAAGAGGAGCCTATTACTGTGTATTTATAGGGTCAGGGCTAGGCAATTACAGCCCAGGCACCCGCCTGGGCACAGCTCTCAGACCTGTAATCCCAGGCTCCCAAGGAGAGATCTGATGGTTGGCTTTGATCAAATGGTCTTCTGGGGGCTCCCAATGAGATTCCAGCTCCAGTGTCTACATGAAAGATACCAGCCAAGATAAGTCTCCAGATTCAGCCAGAGCAGTGCTGGGGATAGGTAATTATCATTAGAATTGCTTCCTTACTGATTCCTGTGGTTTTCTGACACATTTCTGATTGTTACAGCCAGCAGATAAATGACTTAACAGCTACCAGATGGAGGAACCCAGGCCAGACAGCTCTACCTGTGACCAACACTGCCCACAGACACAGCAGCCTCAGAGCTAGTGCTGTTTTCTTCTCTTACTCCAACTCTTAGCAACTTGTACATTTGGGACTTGTAGGGATAACATCTTCCATGAGCCAGGGACTTTTCTGCCAGGAGCTATCTGCTCCTAATGTAAGTGAAATCAGCACTGTTAGCCCTCTCTCTGCAAAGCAAAGTGAAGTTGATGCTTAGGAACAGGTTCCAGAGTATTTTGGGCAATGCCCTGCACTTGACCTGAAAAACATCACATTTAATTCAGGAACTCAAGTTAAAGCTTTATATGCTGATAAAATCACCTCTCCAAATCAGGCTACACTTCACAGCTAAGGTATTTGAGGTCAGTTTTGTCCAGGTACAGCTTTATAAAGTCTATCCGAAGTGCAAACAGCTCAAAAACCCAGGGCAGGGGTCAGTGAGGAAAATGCATTAGAAGAAAAATCATTTAAACCCCTGAGCATGAAGTTTTAATTGACATCAAATATGACAGCATGGAGGATTCTGCTCAACTATAGTCAAAACTTCCACATTCTGAACTCTAAATCTCCCAAATAGGAACTTCCATGCAACTCTCCCAACACTGGAAGCTGAATACAAAAGTGTTTCTGCTGGGATGTCTCATATCATGGA